GTACGATGATATTACAAGAATGGAGGTTAAGTGAACGATGCTATTACAATACTGGAGGTTAAATATACGATGATATTGCAATAATGGAGATTTAAGGTACGTTGATATTATAATAATGGAGGTTTAGTGAACGATATTACAATAATGACGGTTAAAGGTGCGATGATGTTACAATATTGGAGGTTAAAGGTACGATGTTACAATAATGACGGTTAAAGGTTCGATGATGTTACAATAATAGGTTAAAGGTACGATGATATTACAATAATGACGGTTAAATGTACGATGATGTTACAATACTGGAGGTTAAGTGTACGATAATATAACAATAGTTGATGTTAAAGGTACAATGATGTTACAATAATGGAGGTTAAAAGTACGATGTTACCATAATGGAGATAAAAGGTGCGATGATATTATGATATTACAATAGTAGAGATTAAAGGTACGATGATGTTACAATATTGAAGGCTAATAGTACGATGATATTACAATATTGGAGGTTAAAGGTAAGATGATGTTACAATATTAGAATTTAAAGGTACGATGATGTTACAATAATGGAGGTTAAAGGTACGATGATGTTAAAATAATGGAGGTTAAAGGTACGATGATGTTACAATAATGGAGGTTAAAGGTACGATGTTACAATAATGGAGGTTTAAGGTATTATATCATTACAATAATGAAGGTTAAAGGCACGATGATATTACAATAGTGGCAGTTAAAGATATGATGATTTTACAATGGAGGTTAAAGGTATGTCCCCAAGGGTGATAATTACATATTCTCGATAAACATTGTTTCACACCATCTTAGAAAAAATAACTAAGAACACAAATTCCTTATTTCCATCTTTACTGTAATACAAAAAAACGGTTTATAAAATACAATCGATATATAGCACCTTTACTTATAGACAAATACAAACAAATTCTCGTTTTGGCATCATGGTTGATCATGCTCAAAGTATATTACATGTAATACGTTTGTTAAGTTCACTAGCACCTTCACATTTCTACTACTGTGATCAAAAGACATGTACACTTAGTGATCTAGAGACATGTACACTGTATATAACAAAAACCTTACTATAAAGACCATTTGTATCTACGAAAAAACCTGACTACAAAGACCATTTGTATGTACGAAAAACCTGACTATAAAGAAGATCTGTATGCAACAAAAACCTCACTATAATGATTTTCTCTAAAAAAAAATACCTGTCTATAAAGACCATCTGTATGTAACAAAAATCTGACTATCAAGACCATCTGTACGCAACAAAACCTCACTATAAAGATTTCCTCTAAAAAAAAATACTTGTCTATAAAGACCATCTGTATGTTACAAAATCCTGACTATAAAAACCATCTCTATGTAACAAAAACCTTACTATAAAGACCATTTGTATGTACCAAAAACCTGAATACAAAGACCATCTATATGTACAAAAACCTGACTATAAAGAAAATATGCATGTAACAAAAACCTGACTATAAAGATTTCCTCTAAATAAAAAATACCTGTCTATAAAGACCATTTGTACATAACAAAAACCTGACTATAAAGACCATTTGTAAATAACAAAAACCTGACTATAAAGACCATCTGTATGAACCAAAAACCTGACTATAAAGATTTCCTGTAAATAAAAAATACCTGTCTATAAAGACCATATGTACGTAAGTAAAACTTGACTTTAAAGATTTCCTCTAAATAAAAAATACCTGTCCATAAAGACCATCTGTATGTAACAAAACCTGACTATAGAGACCATCTGTATGCAACAAAAACCTGACTAGAAATACCATTTGTACATAACAAAAACCTAACTATAAAGACCATTTGTAAATAACACAAACCTGACTATAAAGACCATCTGTTTGTTACAAAAACCTGACTATAAAGACCATTTGTATGTACCAAAAACCTGACTATAGAGACCATCTGTATGCAACAAAAACCTGACTATAAAGATTTCCTCTAAATGAAATAATTCCTGTCTATAAAGACCATCTGTTTGTTACAAAAACCTGATTATAAAAACCATTTGTATGTACCAAAAACCTGGCTATAAAGAAAATATGCAGGTAACAAAAACCTGACTATAAAGACCATTTGTTTGTACCAAAAACCTGACTATAAAGATTTCCTCTAAATCAAAAGTATATGTCTATAAAGAGCACATGAACGTAACAAAACCTGACTATAAAGATTTCCTCTAAATAAAAAGTACCTGTCTATAAAGACCATCTGTATGTAACAAAAACCTGACTATAGAGACCATCTGTATGCAACAAAAACCTGATTATAAAGACCATTTGTATGTACCAAAAACCTGACTAGAAAGGCTGCCTCGCTATAAAAGAACTATTTGTTGATAAAGACCATCTGTTTGTTACAAAAACCTGACTATAAAGACCATTTGTATGTACCAAAAACCTGGCTATAAAGAAAATATGCATGTAACAAAATACTGACTATAAAGATTTCCTCTAAATAAAAAATACCTGTCTATAAAGACCATCTGTACATAACAAAAACCTGACTATAAAGACCATCTGTTTGAAAAAAAAACCTGTCTATAGAGAAAATATGCATGTTACAAAAATCTGACTATAAAGATTTCCTCTAAATAAAAAATACCTGTCTATAAAGACCATCTGTACATAACAAAAACCTGACTATAAAGACCATCTGTATGTACCAAAAACCTGAATATAAAGACAATTGGTATGTACCAAAAACCTGACTATAAAGATTTCCTCAAAATAAAAAAAAACTGACTATAAAGACCATTTGTATGTACCAAAAACCTGGCTATAAAGAAATATGCATGTAACAAAAACCTGACTATAAAGATTTCCTCTAAATAAAAAGTACCTGCCTATAAAGACCACATGAACGTAACAAAACCTGACTATATAGACCATCTGTATGTAAAAAAACCTGACTATAAAGATCATCTGTATGTAACAATGCCCACCTCTATATAACATATACCTGACTATAAAGGTCACTTCTAAAGACCATCTTTATATAACAAACAACTTTGAAATCCAATGAAGCACCATTTAATATATAATCCAACATGTAAAGGTCACCGTTCTCTGTTTCCTAAAAGTCCTTTCATGAAGGTTTGATTGATCAAAGGATCCCTCTATCACAACATGTCTGGTCCCAATTTACAATAAGGTAATAATGTTCTTCAGGTAAATGAGTTGTAACAAAATTTTGGTTTTGATACACATTTGTAGGAGTCTTTGACACATCAATTTGAAAGAAAAATATGCATAGTACATTGGAAAAGGTCAAAGGCATTCTGCTTATGTACCACCAACCAAAACATTGCAGGAAAAACAAATTCTAAAATAAACAATCTTTAAGGCAACTGAGCAAATAGTCATTACCCTTTTTTTTTCAATTCTCAAAATATTTCAACTATTGTAAATTTCAACGAACAAAAAACTGGTGAAATCTTGATTGTTTACGCTAAACTGATTGTTATTTGATGAAGAAATGCAGCCTAATCTAAATGAGTTGTGATACTTCAATACTTGTATGCATCTAAATGTATATTATCAGAGATAACCTTTACAGGCTAGAATATAATGTGATCTAACAAAACTAGAACTGTGGCCTAGATGGCTGACCAATACTGCACACTGCAACGAGTCAATGGATCAGTTAAAGTGTTATTCTGAGAGTAATTGACATATTCTGCATGTGCCTGCATTTCTGGAAATCAGAAGGGGTGGAATACATGTTGTTCATGATCAAGAGAGTCTTGCAATACTTACATCTTTATTGAAGTAATATTTTCCACTGAAGGGCCACAGAGACAAAAAAATGTCTGCCGTTATGTTCTTGATCTACACTAAACACTCATGTTTGTCATGGCAACAAAACCTATTTTATAATGTTTGGCATCTCCTAATAACCCTATATACCAAATTTGGTCAAAATTGGACAATGTCTAAATTTTGACCAATCAGAGGCCAGGATTGTGTTTCCGCGGCAACAGTTTGGGAAACGTCTAATATGTCCAATTATTGGCCTTACTGAATTACATCTTTTTACTAAGTTTGAATACAACCGGTCAAATAACTGAGGAGTTATGGACATTTATTAGAAAACTTGTTTATAGTGACCAGTTACCATGGCAAGCACAATTTTCAACAAAAGAAAGGGGCATGCATATCTACACATGATCCTTAATATTCCTCTTAAGTTTCATCAAAATTGGTTCACAGGTTTAGGAGGAGTTAGCCGGACAAATGTGTCTACAGACAGACAGACGGACGGACAGACGGACAACCTGATTCCAGTATACCCCCCCTAACTTCGTTACGGGGGGTATAAAAATTTCTGCGGCTCTATATTTCTGTATATAAAGTGGACAGTAAAATTTTAGTGTCAGTTTCCTTGTAGGTACTGTAAAATGATGCAAAGGGGAAAATTATGTCAATTAAGCAAAGATTGTTAGAACACGAGAATTTGCCCACTCATAATATTTTGTGATAAGCTTAAATTGGTAGACAAGATAAAATGGTAACTGAAAATGAAAATGATCTCCACAGGTATAGTTTACCTACAGGAATCGTAAAATTACACCCCTACTGTTTTATTTTATCTCCTTTTAAAAATTATGATTTGGCATGTAAACTCTCAGAAGTATGACATTGGAACCACAGCTACATTTGCAACCTGTTGTACTACCTACACCCTATGGGGTTGCCATGTTGCCAAGGCCATATAAAACTTCCTGTATCCTATGTGGTTACCATGGTACCCAGGCCATATAAAACTTCCTGTATCCTATGTGGTTGCCATGGTACCCAGGCCATATATAACCTCCTACAACTTGTGTGGTTGTCATGATGTTCAAACCATATATAACCTCCTGCACGAGTGTACCCTGGTGCCAAGACCATATACAACATTTCATATCCTGTTCGATTGCCATGTTGCCAAAACCATACAGAGCTTCATACATCTTACTTTGTTGCCATGGTGCCCAAGCCATATACAACCTCCTTTATCCTGTGTGGTTGCCATGGTGCCCAGGCCATCACCTTTGATAAAACAAGGTTATCTGTAGTAACAGTTGCTGGGACGGCATCAAAAGACTGTAGGGATAACTGTGCAGCAAGAAGTCCAGTCTTCACACAAAGGTCAAGGTCATGACCTTGAATGATCCCCGAGATTATACCAGCATTCAAACTATAAACAGATAAAACAGTAATAAGTATGTTGTTTACAAGATATGTCATATTGTCAATGGTGAAATGTTGTGAGCAAGACAAAAAACACACATGACTTATAACCATAGGATTACAGCCTTGGGGTGAAAAAGTAATACTTCTGGTTTGGAATTTAATCAAAGACAGTTTTAAATGTTTAAATTCATCAAGTGAGTGAACAAAATAATGAGGATTCATCTCAAGTAAAATTGAAAGTATTGATACAATTTGAGTCATTATCTCGACACAGAAATAACACAAAAGTTTTTTTTACTGACCAGTCTCCAGCCCCTGATACACTGACCAGCTCATTAGGCATACTGTGTGGACTGGCTGCAGGATAGTGTATAAAGGATACATCACCCATCTACAAACAGACACAATATATATAACTAACCCACTACAGGATAGTGTATAAAGGATACATCACCCATCTACAGACAGACACAATATATATAACAAAGGATACATCACCCATCTACAGACTAACCCACTACTGGATAGTGTATAAAGGATACATCACCCATCTACAGACAGACACAATATATATAACTAACCCACTACAGGATAGTGTATAAAGGATACATCACCCATCTACAGACAGACACAATATATATAACTAACCCACTACAGGATAGTGTATAAAGGATACATCACCCATCTACAGACAGACACAATATATATAACTAACCCACTACAGGATAGTGTATAAAGGATACATCACCCATCTACAGACACAATATATATAACTAACCCACTACAGGATAGTGTATAAAGGATACATCACCCATCTACAGACAGACACAATATATATAACTAACCCACTACAGGATAGTGTATAAAGGATACATCACCCATCTACAAACAGACACAATGTATATAACTAACCCACTACAGGATAGTGTATAAAGGATACATCACCCATCTACAGACAGACACAATATATATAACTAACCCACTACAGGATAGTGTATAAAGGATACATCACCCATCTACAGACAGACACAATATATATAACTAACCCACTACAGGATAGTGTATAAAGGATACATCACCCATCTACAAACAGACACAATGTATATAACTAACCCACTACAGGATAGTGTATAAAGGATACATCACCCATCTACAGACAGACACAATATATATAACTAACCCACTACATGGTTGTGTATAAAGGATACATCACCCATCTACAGACAGACACAATATATATAACTAGCCCGTCCTCATCTCCAAAATTATAACATCTGTCCAGAATATAGGTATCTCCAAAATTATAACACCTGTCCAGGATAAAGGAATCTCCAAAATTATAACACCGGTCCAAGATATTGGTATCTCCAAAATTATAACACCTGTCCAGGATATTGGAATCTCCAAAATTATAACACCTGTCCAGGATATAGGAATCTCCAAAATTATAGCACCTGTCCAGGATATAGGTATCTCCAAAATTATAACACCTGTCCAGGATATAGGAATCTCCAAAATTATAACACCTGTCCAGGATATAGGAATCTCCAAAATTATAACACCTGTCCAGGATATAGGAATCTCCAAAATTATAACACCTGTCCAGAATAAAGGAACCTCCAAAATGTTATTTTTGTTGATAATTTTCATTTGTTTGTTCATCTAATCATGAAAATAATGACAAATACAGAGATACTACTGAATCTGTCAAATTATTTTTAGCTCACCTGGCCCAAAGACATTCACTGTAGATATATACATGTACATTCACTGTCAATATATACATGTACATTCACTGTAGATATATACATGTACATTCACTGTAGATATATACATGTACATTCACTGTAGACATATACATGTACATTCACTGTAGATATATACATGTACATTCACTGTCGATATATACATGTACATTCACTGTAGATATATACATGTACATTCACTGTAGATATATACATGTACATTCACTGTAGATATATACATGTACATTCACTGTCGATATATACATGTACATTCACTGTCGATATATACATGTACATTCACTGTCGATATATACATGTACATTCACTGTCAATATATACATGTACATTCACCATCAATATATACATGTACATTCACTGTCAATATATACATTTACATTGTACCTGTATATGATCTCCTCGTGTGGGGAATCTTTTCATTTCTGAGTTTTGACAAAGCAACATTCCATGCTTTCCTAGAGTAACAATGAGGACAGGTATTCTCTCCAGAACAGGATAGGAAAGTCTCATGCTTTCATTTAGGATTACATCCAAGTTGTCTGTATTGGTCTGGACTGTAAACAATACAAAAATTATCAATGTACAACCTGTAAAAAGTCATTGTGTGGCCATTAGCAATTGATAAGTAGTAAATTATGTTTAGAAGTCATAGTGAATCAGCACCAGTTCTCATCTTATTGAGGCAGACACTTGAGTACCATTCTACAGTATGAAAAACTGAACTGACAATGCTTACCTGTATGTGTGTGTGATGCACCTGTAATTGCCAGGTGTATCTGTTGAAGCTCGTTAAGGTTAGGTGACACATAGGTCGGCAGTGTCTTTACTCTAACATCAAAAGGCTTACAAGCCTTGTGGACATCTGTTGGTTCATACCAAACTGCAATAAAACATATTTTCTGAATAATAAATGTGCCCCATACCACCACCTTCAAATTGACAGGTTTCTCTGTGCTCCCTACCACCACCTTCAAATTGAAAGGTTCCTCTGTGCCCCCTACCACCACCTTCAAATTGACAGGTTCCTCTGTGCCCCCTACCACCACCTTCAAATTGACAGGTTCCACTGTGCCCCCCACCAACACCTTCAAATTGACAGGTTCCTCTGTGCCTCCCACCAACACCTTCAAACTGACAGGTTTCTCTGTGCCCCCAGCACCTTCACCTTCAAATTGACAGGTTCCTCTGTGCCCCATACCACCACCTTCAAAATGACAGGTTTCTCTGTCCCCCCAGCACCTTCACCTTCAAACTGACAGGTTCCTCTGTGCCCCCAGCACATTCACCTCCAAATTGACAGGTTCCTCTGTGCCCCCTACCACCACCTTCAAATTGACAGGTTCCACTGTGCCCCCCACCAATACCTTCAAATTGACAGGTTCCTCTGTGCCTCCCACCAACACCTTCAAATTGACAGGTTTCTCTGTGCCCCCAGCACCTTCACCTTCAAATTGACAGGTTTCTCTGTGCTCCCTACCACCACCTTCAAATTGAAAGGTTCCTCTGTGCCCCCTACCACCACCTTCAAATTGACAGGTTCCTCTGTGTGTGTACCACCACCTTCAAATTGACAGGTTCCACTGTGCCCCCCACCAACACCTTCAAATTGACAGGTTCCTCTGTGCCTCCCACCAACACCTTCAAACTGACAGGTTTCTCTGTGCCCCCAGCACCTTCACCTTCAAATTGACAGGTTCCTCTGTGCCCCATACCACCACCTTCAAAATGACAGGTTTCTCTGTGCCCCCAGCACCTTCACCTTCAAACTGACAGGTTCCTCTGTGCCCCCAGCACATTCACCTCCAAATTGACAGGTTCCTCTGTGCCCCCTACCACCACCTTCAAATTGACCACTGGCCCCCCACCAATTTCAAATTGACAGGTTCCTCTGTGCCTCCCACCAACACCTTCAAATTGACAGGTTTCTCTGTGCCCCCAGCACCTTCACCTTCAAATTGACAGGTTCCTCTGTGCCCCCTACCACCACCTTCAAATTGACCAACTTCAATGTGATGTTTCCCTGTCCTGTCTTGATTGTTAATGTTTATAAAGAATCAGTTAAATGATCATTTAGACCATTAAGACCTCATATCTAAACAATCTTCCCCTCCCAGCCCAAGATGTAGAGCCCTGTGATTTTATAACTACCTGGAACAGAAGATATGCTGCACAGCTTACATACATGTTGGATTGTTTCTGCCGGAATGTTTCCATCTACACACACCAGGGTAGCATTGGATAGCTCCTCCTCAAATCCTGAGACCTGCAAGATATGTGTATCGCACAGGATGTATTAAAAAAAACTTTCTAAATTACAAAATGTAAAAAATCTCCTTTATACATTACTCCTCAAATCCTGAAATCTGTGTTCTTCATCCATAAACTATATGTGTTATAATAATATGAATGCCACTACCGCACTTTTCATTATTACATGTAGACACTAATGTCCCCACTACCAAGCATTTAAGTAATTTGGAATTGAATTTACAGAAACTGTCAAATTGACCCTCCGACCTTGATGGTTGTTCATGTTAGGTATAGTCAGAACTTGATTTTACATGTATGATACAATGAGGTACAATGATACAAATGTGTTGAGCCTGGTTCTCAAGGTATAAAGTTGACTCAGGACAGCAAACATGGGAAACACTACGCACCCCCTCCTTCCAAAAATGGCAGGGACGTTAAAGTCAGTTAATGAGAGTGCTAAATGTTACAGATTACAGAAATACTACAGTGTTGATTCCAACTTACCATCTCAGGGGTGACTGTTTGGTGACAGTGATGATACTAACCATCTCAGGTGTGACTGTGTGGTGACAGTGATGATACTAACCATCTCAGGTGTGACTGTTTGGTGACAGTGATGATACTAACCATCTCAGGTGTGACTGTTTGGTGACAGTGATGATACTAACCATCTCAGGTGTGACTGTTTGGTGACAGTGATGATACTTACCATCTCAGGTGTGACTGTTTGGTGACAGTGATGATACTAACCATCTCAGGTGTGACTGTGTGGTGACAGTGATGATACTAACCATCTCAGGTGTGACTGTTTGGTGACAGTGATGATACTAACCATCTCAGGTGTGACTGTGTGGTGACAGTGATGATACTAACCATCTCAGGTGTGACTATTTGGTGACAGTGATGATACTTACCATCTCAGGTGTGACTGTGTGGTGACAGTGATGATACTAACCATCTCAGGTGTGACTATTTGGTGACAGTGATGATACTAACCATCTTAGGTGTGACTGTTTTGTGTCAGTGAGGAAACTTACCATCTCAGGTGTGACTGTTTGGTGAATTTCCATATCACCTATTCCAAATATGAGTTCTCCAGTACGTTTTAAAACTGCACAGTAAGTAGCTGTTGTCTGGTCCCTCCTGACAGCAACACCAGTTAGGTCCTGTAATGTAACACATGTTGTCTCATTGTATTGTATTGATGAGGAGCTTCTCTTGAATTATCATTCTGAGTATAAAACTTTATGAACAAACAATTTCACATTTGGTTTCATGACTTTGAATTAGAAAAGGTACCTCAAAATTTTAGACACACTTTAGTTTTTCATGTCATTTCAATGCTGTTTAAAAAAAAAGAATATTAGTGCAACTAATAAATGCTCCTTAAAAACAAGTCTACTGGACACAAACAAAGGAAGGAAGTCTGATGTATTTTGTCAGACATTTCAACCTCAACAGAAGCTTTGAAGTTATGTGAATTAGCTACAGAAATTTCTCTGTTTAATTCAACGATTCCTTGATTTTCGTACCTTTCAACACCAATACATCCAAGATATTCTCATAAAACCTAACTCTTGTATTTAAACTTTGTTTCAATTCCTGATATACTAAGTAATAGATTTAAATATACCCTTTAAAAGCCTGTCAAAAAAATTGACTTTTAAAGTTTTATTTTGGAAGCTTTTCAACAAGAACAAGTAATATTTTCTTTCACAGATTTTTCTAATTTATACTTTTAAGAAGACTTATCAAGGCCTTGTAACATCTGGGTCATACCATGTGATTGCAATAATGCTGAAAGGCAGGCTTGTGTGAGTCGTCACCTACAGCTGAAATAAACAATGGGTCAACTCCAAGACGACTGAGACAATCTGCCATGTTCCTTCCTACCCCACCAAATGACTGGCGCACACCTCCAGGGTAAGTTCCACCATCAGCCTACAAAGGAGAAGTTATCAAACTTCACTGGAGACATAAACCAAGTACAAAAGGAGATAATTATACACAAAGATAGGAAACAACGCCTTAGTGAAAAGGGGAAAGAAAATTTTCATGGATAAAAACCGCTCAAAAAATTAAGTGATCCGAATTTTAACAATATGTCAACATGTGAATTAATGGATTATAAGAATACTCATCCAACCAATTAAAATAAATGCCCCATGATAATTAATATTTCAACAGTATACACAATCTTAATTTATAGAGAACTGATAATCAATTGCATAAAAGGGGAGACAACCCAATGTCAATAAAACTGACAGATAGAATGTGAATTATATCAACATCATGGTCATGATTTTTTCCACTTGAGTCTAAACGAGTCTAGACAGCTTTAAAAACAACAACAATAAAATAGATGAAGTGTGATACATTCTTGTCCTCTCACAAGAGGAGACTCACTCATACTTGCGTACAATACCTGTCTACTGTTTATAGATCTCTTATATAACTCATAAACACATGTCAGACATACAATAATCTTATATGAAATTAAAACATTTCATAAACAATGACTCTTATCTAATGTAATGATAATGTACTTACCTCAAATTTGTCCTTATCTACTACGGCATAAAAATCCACATTGCATCCCCCTATTACCACCTGTAAAGAGTCTCAAAGTCTAAATTCTCAAACATCAGTAATTTCATGAGCCTTGATCGCACCAAGAACCAACAACAAAACAAATTTGTGACAATAAGACAAAGTGTTCATTTGTTATGCAAAACGTATATATTAATTAATATTTCAAATGTCAAAAAAAAATAAGATATTTAGAAAAAAAGACCTCCCTCAAACAAGAGGCCTTTAGAGTACCTGGCTTTATTTGGCTGATATTGTATAATCCAGACCAAAGGAAAAAGAATTTTAAAGTTTTATGTCTATGTTCCCTATTGGGGCCTCCTGCCCAAGTAGGCTAAAACTAACCCATAATAAGAAACTGATTCTCCTTCAACAAAGAATGCTTCAGATCAAATTGGACAGATTTCTATCATTCCTAAAGAAGGACTTCTAAGAATTTGCTCTTTTTTACATTTTTTACCACAGCTTACTGACATGGGTAGACATTTTGTGTAAACCCCCACTGTAACATTTTTTACCACAGCTTACTGACATGGGTAGACATTTTGTGTAAACCCCCACTGTAACATTTTTTACCACAGCTTACTGACATGGGTAGACATTTTGTGTAAACCCCCACTGTAACATTTTTTACCACAGCTTATTGACATGGGAAGACATTTTGTGTAACGGTGGTGTGTACTATGTGAATGTATATGTCCTGTCTGTTGATCAACAGTAAGAGATTTCAGTTTTATGTTATTTCATGAAATCTTCAGGTGCATACTTCAGTGAAGAACAACAAACATTGCTCATAAGGGGATTCACTTGATATTTATATGCAATAACAAACAAGACCAGAAGAAAAGAAATTTGTTTTAATGTGATGTCGCTTTAAATTTCCCTTATGGTCCCTATCCTGCATATCTAAGGGTAGTCAGGCCCGCTATTGATACAAAATTAATCTTTTTCCCCCAAGGATGTTTCTGACTAACTTAGAACAATATCTGTTCACTTAGTTGTTAATAACAAGTAGTGAAATGTTGGAAAAGATGACAGACATTGCAGTCTGCCAGAAGTTTACATTACACTTATTTTAATGTAACTTAAATTTATAATCACTAAAAACAAAAAAAAGAAGTTGTTCATACCACTCTCCCTTTGCCTTTGGTATATTGCTGACTTTGTGACCTTGATTTTATACGTGGTGCTGTTACCATAGTTACATCATCCCTTTCTGTGTTAGTGGTACCATCTGTTGATGACTCTCTACAGACAGATAAGTGGCGAGCTATCTGACTTCCAACCATAGCATTGTTTTTGATAAGAGCAATGTCTTCAGTGAAGTTAAGGAATACTTCTCAGATTTGTCACATTATCAGATGTCAATTTTGTGTAAATTTCTCATGCCAATATATAACCATCTGGCAAATGATGTGTGACCACAAGTAAGACATAATTCAATATAAAATGAATTCCACCAGATTATCTATTTTTGTGTTCTTATACACTTTGTTATCAATAGTTGTACTATCAATTTACAATTTTTTGACATTTTAAAAAATTTTGCTTGTGGAATGCTTTTTTCGACAACATAGTTGTGATTCTGTTAAAAGCGTCAACAATTTCAACATATTTTGGTTGCTAATTAAGGTAATACTCTTGAGTATATAACTCTGGAATTTCTGGGTAGATTTCAACTAAATTTGGAATGAATTATCACCACAAATTACAGATTTGTAAATTCTGAATTCTGACTTGGTACACCACTTCATCATATTTTTAGGACCCAAAAACAAATATCATGGTTTCTTTCTTGATCTTGGAAAAACTAGCTATTTTGGTGAAAACTGCAAAAATTAAAGCATACAGGCACCCCCTATATTAACCATAGAAAGTAACCTTGAAAATTTATCTTTAAAATCTTTTGAAAAATAAGATGGGAAGCCCAACCATCCCTAATGACTGTATTACTTATACCGGTATTTAGGATGTAACACCAAAATCACTTTATTATTACATTATTTAGGATGTAACACCAAAATCACTTTATTATTACATTATTTAGGATGTAACACCAAATTCACTTCATTATTACATTATTTAGGATGTAACACCAAATTCACTTTATTATTACATTATTTAGGATGTAACACCAAATTCACTTTATTATTACATTATTTGGGATGTAACACCAAATTCACTTTATTATTACATTATTTAGGATGTAACACCAAAATCACTTCATTATTACATTATTTAGGATGTAACACCAAATTCACTTCATTATTACATTATTTAGGATGTAACACCAAATTCACTTTATTATTACATTATTTAGGATGTAACACCAAAATCACTTTATTATTACATTATTTAGGATGTAACACCAAATTCACTTTATTATTACATTATTTAGCATGTAACACCAAATTCACTTTATTATTACATTATTTAGGACGTAACACCAAAATCACTTTATTATTACATTATTTAGGATGTAACACCAAATTCACTTCATTATTACATTATTTAGGATGTAACACCAAATTCACTTCATTATTACATTATTTAGGATGTAACACCAAATTCACTTCATTATTACATTATTTAGGATGTAACACCAAATTCACTTTATTATTACATTATTTAGGATGTAACACCAAATTCACTTCATTATTACATTATTTAGGATGTAACACCAAATTCACTTTATTATTACATTATACTCACCAAACCAAAATTATTAAACATTATACTGAATATGATATCTAACAAACCATGATTATTACAATATATTGAATGAAATATCCAAAACAGCCATGATTATTACAATATATTGAATGTGACCTCCAAAACAGCCATGATTATTACAATATATTGAATGTGACCTCCAAAACAGCCATGATTATTACAATATTTTGAATGTGTCCTCCAAAACAGCCATGATTACTACAATGTATTGAATGTGACCTCCAAAACAGCCATTGCTATTACAATATATTGAATGTGACCCCCAAAACAGCCATGATTATTACAATATATTGAATGTGACCTCCAAAACAGCCATGATTACTACAATATATTGAATGTGACCTCCAAAACAGCCATGATTATTACAATATATTGAATGTGACCTCCAAAACAGCCATGATTACTACAATATATTGAATGTGACCTCCAAAACAGCCATGATTACTACAATATATTGAATGTGACCTCCAAAACAGCCATGATTATTACAATTATTGAATGTGACCCCCAAAACAGCCATGATTATTACAATGTAACAACCAAGATTTCATCACACAATCATCCTAGCTACCACTGTCAAAGGATACTGGCATTGAGAGAAACACCTTTCGTGATCTCGTTAACCTGCTGTAGTATAAATGGTGTAACTTCCCTCCCAGAAATTCCTGCCTCTCTGAAATGAAAAAATATGCATCTTACACAAGCAAAGATGTGAAGTCATAATTCTGTTTCATTTTCTGCAATACGAAATATGCATATAAATCCTAGGTGTTGATGATATGTTTACAGCTGTCTAGCTGAGGCAGTTGGAAAATAGTATTTTACCAGGGAGACATACTCTTTCATCCTGGAAAAAAATCACTTTTATTTGTCCTTTATAAAATCTGAAATGTTAACTAATACAGCCTAAATAAAGATTTCAATATTGAATGGGTAAAATAGGAAAAATCTGAGCAAGTGCATTGATCAGGTAGGGATAAACAAATGTGTCCGATAATGATACATAACCTTGCCTTTGTCACAGCTATAAATAAATGTTGATAATTACCTTGCCTTTGTCACAGCTATAAATAAATGTTGATAATTACCTTGCCTTTGTCACAGCTATAAATAAATGTTGATAATTACCTTGCCTTTGTCACAGCTATAAATAAATGTTGATAATTACCTTGCCTTTGTCACAGCTATAAATAAATGTTGATTATTACCTTGCCTTTGTCACAGCTATAAATAAATGTTGATAATTACCTTGCCTTTGTCACAGCTATAAATAAATGTTGATAATTACCTTGCCTTTGTCACAGCTATAAATAAATGTTGATAATTACCTTGCCTTTGTCACAGCTATAAATAAATGTTGATAATTACCTTGCCTTTGTCACAGCTATAAATGTTGATAATTACCTTGCCTTTGTCACAGCTATAAATAAATGTTGATAATTACCTTGCCTTTGTCACAGCTATAAATGTTGATATGTTACTTTGCCTTTGTCACAACTATAAATAAATGTTGATAATTACCTTGCCTTTGTCACAGCTATAAATAAATGTTGATAATTACCTTGCCTTTGTCACAGCTATAAATAAATGTTGATAATTACCTTGCCTTTGTCACAGCTATAAATAAATGTTGATTATTACCTTGGCCTTGTCACAGCTATAAATAAATGTTGATAATTACCTTGCCTTTGTCACAGCTATAAATAAATGTTGATAATTACCTTGCCTTTGTCACAGCTATAAATAAATGTTGATAATTACCTTGCCTTTGTCACAGCTATAAATAAATGTTGATAATTACCTTGCCTTTGTCACAGCTATAAATGTTGATAATTACCTTGCCTTTGTCACAGCTATAAATAAATGTTGATAATTACCTTGCCTTTGTCACAGCTATAAATGTTGATAATTACCTTGCCTTTGTCACAGCTATAAATAAATGTTGATAATTACCTTGCCTTTGTCACAGCTATAAATTAATGTTGATAATTACCTTGCCTTTGTCACAGCTATAAATAAATGTTGATAATTACCTTGCCTTTGTCACAGCTATAAATAAATGTTGATAATTACCTTGCCTTTGTCACAGCTATAAATGTTGATATGTTACTTTGCCTTTGTCACAGCTATAAATAAATGTTGATAATTACCTTGCCTTTGTCACAGCTATAAATTAATGTTGATAATTACCTTGCCTTTGTCACAGCTATAAATAAATGTTGATAATTACTTTGCCTTTGTCACAGCTATAAATAAATGTTGATAATTACCTTGCCTTTGTCACAGCTATAAATAAATGTTGATAATTACCTTGCCTTTGTCACAGCTATAAATGTTGATAATTACTTTGCCTTTGTCACAGCTATAAATAAATGTTGATAATTACCTTGCCTTTGTCACAGCTATAAATTAATGTTGATAATTACCTTGCCTTTGTCACAGCTATAAATTAATGTTGATAATTACCTTGCCTTTGTCACAGCTATAAATAAATGTTGATAATTACCTTGCCTTTGTCACAGCTATAAATGTTGATATGTTACTTTGCCTTTGTCACAACTATAAATAAATGTTGATAATTACCTTGCCTTTGTCACAGCTATAAATTAATGTTGATAATTACCTTGCCTTTGTCACAGCTATAAATTAATGTTGATAATTACCTTGCCTTTGTCACAGCTATAAATTAATGTTGATAATTACCTTGCCTTTGTCACAGCTATCTGTATGGCATCCTCTATAAGTTTTCCTTGGCCTGCCTGGTCCTCCGGTACAGGGACGGCTATTAGGACTCCACTCTGAACACCAAGTCTCTCATGGCTATCTAGTCACACAAATCACAAATTTACATTCTGAATCACCGCTATAAGTTGCATGCTGACCACATTAGAAAATATTCAAAATGCAGATGGAAACACTACAGCCTGTTCACTTTTAGATGGTCTTTTTTTAAGGGAGGGGGCTGTGTTTTCTTCTTTGTATACAAAAAAAAGTGACGAGCCATAGTTTAGCTATTTTTGTCTTTCTTCAGCCTTTGCCAAAATACTACTGATTTTTTAAGTCACTGACTATATAATTTCTATACAAATACCTTTCAATACCTTTAGATTACATCTAATCATATCTTACTTGTAAACCACAGATTTACTCTTCAACCTTACTTACCTATCAGTCTGGCTGCACTACTTGGGTCCTCAACATTGTATGGGGACAAAAGTCCACTTCGTGGTGAGAAAAAGGCAGGGAAGTCTCTACTAGGACCATAAGTTGCCACACAAACACCTTGTGTCTCCTAAGGAACAAAATATGAAGACTGATGAAAAACTTCTACTAATACGCAGACAGAATGAATTACCAGGTAAACAATCTGCTGAATACTGATGTGTTCTTGGGAAAATATTTTAATTAAGGGCAAATGACTTCTTTTAGGGTAGAGCTTTGAGGTAAACTTCTAGTATTATGGATTTTAACTTCTCTAGCTAAATGTGAAATTGACAGTAGAATTATACAGAATAGTTAGTTATTTCAATGGTCTTTGGTATATTATTTCCTTCACAATTGAAGTAGTGAAAATTAGAACTCCTCAAAAACACATGTAAGAAGTTTAGGTGGAGTTGTACAGACATGACGTTAAATGAAAGTCCTGTTCATATGACACATTATTTAAGCAATCACACATTTCTTGTTGCATGGACATGATACATAAGTTTAGGAAAACTTGTCCAGACCAAAATTTGAAACAAAAATCCTATTTATATTGACTGGTTACCATGGCAACCAATATCATGCTAAAAAAAGTAGCATTCCCATTTACACATGTACCCAACAATCCAGTGTAGTTTCATGAGGTTTAAAATCAATCCAGTAGTTCTGGAGGAGTTTTCTAGACAAACTTTTCTAAAGTCAGATGTACAGAGACAATGTGATGCCAGTACAAACCCTCTATCTTTGTTGTGAAGGATATAAAAATGATTTCTGATAAATTTCCCTATTCTGGTCCCAGATTTGTGATCAAAAACAGATGTCAGATTCACTATTCATAAAAATTGCTTCAGACCAAACTTGGACAATATCCTTGTACAGAAGAATTTTTTAAGACATTACCCCAATTGTGCCCCACTTTTCCTTCAGCACCAGTGGGGCGGAATACATTGTTTATATAGAACTGATTCCCCTTCACCCGTGAATACTTCAAACTAAGTTTAGGCAATATCCATTCATTCATACAGGAGGAGTAGGATTTTAAAGAACAAAATTTCTCCTTTTGAGCCCAGCCCCTCACCTCCCATGGGGTCATGAACCAACATCCATAAAAAACTGTCTTATCTTCCCAAGGATACTTTTCACCAAATTTGGTCAAAATTTGTTCAGTCATTTATGTCTAGTAAAAAGTTCAGAGACGACAGATGCTGGATGGAGGATAGACGCCTCACCATTGCCTTGGTGAACCAAAAACTGATATATACTTCATCACAATCTATTAACTCTTTATATTTTATCATCACAATCTATTAAATCTATATATACTTTATCATCACAATCTATTAACTCTATATACTTTATCATCACAATCTATTAACACTTTATATTTTATCATAACAATCTATTAACTCGATATATTTTATCATCACAATCTATTAACTCTATATACTTTATCATCACAATCTATTAACACTATATATATTTTATTATCACAATCTATTAACTCTATATACTTTATCATCAAAATCTATTAACTCTGTATACTTTATCATCACAAATTATTGACACTACATATATTTTATCATCACAATCTATTAACTCTGTATACTTTATCATCACAATCTATTAATTCTGCAAACTTTACCATTACAATCTATTAACTCTATATATATACTTTATCATCAAAATCTAATAACTCTATATACTTTATCATCACAATCTATTTACTCACAAGGAATTCTAAAGTCCTGGCAATGTCTAGTATTGATTTAACCCCAGAGGATACTACAGTGACCGGTGTCCGACCCAGCTCTGTCAGGTCAGCACTCACGTCCATAGCTGTATAAAGATAAATAAACAACATATATAGCTAGTTTCCAGGAATGGTAAACAACAGTGTTACATACAAGTATCTTTGTGTATAACAAAACATAAAGAATGGTAAACAACAGTGTTACATACAAGTATCTTTGTGTATAACAAAACTTAAAGAATGGTAAACAACAGTGTTACATACAAGTATCTTTGTGTATAACAAAACTTAAAGAATGGTAAACAACAGTGTCACATACAAGTATCTTTGTGTATAACAAAACATAAAGAAAGGTAAACAACAGTGTTACATACAAGTAACCTTGGTAAACTCAATGAAATTTTTATATTTCAATGAAAGTATTTTTTAGAAATTAAAAAAAATTCTCTTTGCTATTTCCAAAGTATAGCACAAATATTTACTGTTAGTAGAAAACTGTATATTGATATCTGTTTTTATTGCTTTAATTAATTAGTAGCTTTATCGATTGCCGAGATATCCATTGCCTTCATTATGAAATGATTTTCTCAGACAATATCTGAAGACCTACTGGCTTCCACTCCTCTGTGAACGCCACCAATTCCTCCTGTGACAAATACAGCGATGCCTGCCAAGTTGGCTATGACCATGGTACCAGCGACCGTTGTCCCTCCATCACATCCCTGATTTACATATAAGTTTGTAGTATCTAATTAATCACCAAAATGATCACTTTTGTCTGCTCTAAACTATTGCTTAAAACTTGTTAGTTTTGTAAACAAAGACTTCTACAAGTTTGAAATATGTAATACATTAGTTCATGTATTAATACTACAAATCTAACTAAAACCTAAAGTGCAGAATGAGTTAGCCCACTAACAGGTGTTAGCTATTTGAAATTTCAAATTTAAACCTGAACTAATCTATCAGCTTTTAGTCAATTATGATGATAGTGAATGCTTTCTTAGAACAAATTGATTGTTTTCACTTTGAAGAATTAAATTAAAGCGTCTTATTTGTATTTTATATTGCATCACAAGTCAGAGTACATTGTACATGTGTTTTTGAAGGTTTTTGAACATTTATTCGAACAGGAAAATTATTTGAAATCTCTGTTTAATTAGTCTTGCAATTAACTTGTTGAAGAATCGGAATGAGACTCAATGCAATGTGGCTTACGAGACAAGATCTGGTCAAACATGAGCAATGATATACATCCCCCTCCTCAAAAGCATGCATGCATAAATGCACACACACACAAACACACACACATAAAACGCACACACACATATAAACACACACACACACACACATACATATACACATCCTATGATGGCATAAAAGACAGGTTTCTTTTCCAAAATTATAGTTGATCTAAGAGAGATAACTCTGTGTTTACAAAATTTATCCTCCTTGTGAAAAGACGTTTAAAGAAATCCTAAGCAGATCTAGTGCTATGAAAGTGAGGGACTTACTTCTGATATTACAAAAGGGAGATCTCGTCGGGATGTTTTAATAACAGTTCTGGATGGACTAGCCAAGTACTCCAGTTCTTCAGTACTTAAACCTAATGAAAATAAAATTTTATCTTGAAGCTCATTCAAAACCTAAACTTCATATATATAAATAAACATGTAAAAAAGTGACTTTATATAAACATATGAATTATATAAACATATGAATTATATAAATATGAGGCTGATACAAATACATCAATTATAGTCAAACTTGATAATCATAGAAAATAATCACACAAAGTGTTCTAACCTGATAATTATAATAACCACACAAAGTGTGTACAAACCTGATAATTATAATAACCACACAAAGTGTGTACAAACCTGAATTATAATAACCACACAAAGTGTGTACAAACCTGATAATTATAATAACCACACAAATGTGTGTACAAACCTGATAATTATAATAACCACACAAATTGTGTACAAACCTGATAATTATAATAACCACACAAAGTGTGTACAAACCTGATAATTATAAATAACCACACAAAGTGTGTACAAACCTGATAATTATAATAACCACACACAAACCTGATAATTATAATAACCACACAAATTGTGTACAAACCTGATTATAATAACCACACAAATTGTGTACAAACCTGATAATTATAATAACCACACAAATTGTGTACAAACCTGATAATTATAACCACACAAAGTGTGTACAAACCTGAAATTATAATAACCACACAAATTGTGTACAAACCTGATAATTATAATAACCACACAAATTGTGTACAAACCTGATAATTATAATAACCACACAAATTGTGTACAAACCTGATAATTATAATAACCACACAAAGTGTGTACAAACCTGATAATTATAATAACCACACACAATTGTGTACAAACCTGATAATTATAATAACCACACAAATTGTGTACAAACCTGATAATTATAATAACCACACAAAGTGTGTACAAACCTGATAATTATAATAACCACACAAAGTGTGTACAAACCTGATAATTATAATAACCACACAAAGTGTGTACAAACCTGATAATTATAATAACCACACAAATTGTGTACAAACCTGATAATTATAATAACCACACAAATTGTGTACAAACCTGATAATTATAATAACCACACAAATTGTGTACAAACCTGATAATTATAATAACCACACAAAGTGTGTACAAACCTGATAATTATAATAACCACACAAATTGTGTACAAACCTGATAATTATAATAACCACACAAATTGTGTACAAACCTGATAATTATAATAACCACACAAAGTGTGTACAAACCTGATAATTATAATAACCACACAAAGTGTGTACAAACCTGATAATTATAATAACCACACAAAGTGTGTACAAACCTGATAATTATAATAACCACACAAAGTGTGTACAAACCTGATAATTATAATAACCACACAAATTGTGTACAACACCTGATAATTATAATAACCACACAAATTGTGTACAAACCTATAATTATAATAACCACACAAAGTGTGTACAAACCTGATAATTATAAAAACCAAAGTGTGTACAAACCTGATAATTATAATAACCACACAAATTGTGTACAAACCTGATAATTATAATAACCAACAAAGTGTGTACAAACCTGATAATTATAATAACCACACAAATTGTGTACAAACTGATAATTATAATAACCACACAAAGTTACATACTGTTTATATATATAACAATATGATGATGTTATAATAACCACACAAATTGTGTTACAAACCTGATAATTATAATAACCACACAAATTGTATGAAAGTACAAACCAGCAAAATAATTCAAAGCATATTACACATAAGTGTGTTCAAACCTGATTAATCAAATGGAACCACACAAAGCTGATGAAACTATTTATATGCCACACAACATGTGTACAAACCTGATAATTATAATAACCACACAAAGTGTGTACAAACCTGATAATTATAATAACCACACAAATTGTGTACAAACCTGATAATTATAATAACCACACAAAGTGTGTACAAACCTGATAATTATAATAACCACACAATGGTGTACAAATCACAGATAGTCCTAATTAACATCAAATGTTATCACCACACAAAGTGTGTAATTGATTTACAAGCACACAGAAGGTGTGTACAAACCTGAATATGCTGTTACTGAAAGTGTTACAAACCTATTTATTAAGACACAATGTGTAACTGATTATAGATATCACAGCCTGTGTACAAGGAGTCATATCTAAAGATGATTTAACAGTTAAGAAAATGTAATTTCAAATGTTTGTAAAGTCCCTCTCTCATTGTTATCAATGAATACAACCATCAGTATTACTCTGTACAAACCATTTAATATTCCAAGGACTATGCTCACAATTGCCCTCCACAACCCTCAAATATTTCATAGCAAAATGTAACATGTTTATAATAAACGACAAATTGTGGATGATACTAGAATGCTACACAAAGTTTAAAGCAAACCTGATCTTTTGATATACAATGTACACCAAACAAATATCAAGGTCACATAATGCAATGTTTTACTGGCTTTGGAGCTGGGTGTCGCTATTTATTAAGACACAATAACTTTGTAACAGCTTCAACAGTGAGCAAATCCACACCAAGGACTATGTGTGTGATTTTCATAGCAAAATCTAATGTTCAGTTTTTTTCTAATAACTGTGTCAAACCTGCTCTAGACCAATCAAATTGATCCGAACTCCTTGAGTATCAAGTATGTCTGTACTTTCTGTGTTTAATTGAAACATAATTGAATGCAGTTAAACACATTCTTTGTTTGGAAAAGTAAGTTTTAGGACAGACTGAACAAATGACAGACATGTTGATGTGTATGTAAGTTATATGGGTGTTAAAATGTCACATTGAGTGAATTTTGATGTGTACACATATTGTTGTGATGTTTGGAATATCTGTGATTTCCTAGTGTTAGGAAATACACATATGACAAATCTGCTTCTTAAGTGTTGGTTTTCTTTTTAATAACAACACAAATTGTGTAAGGGGAATAACTCATAAACATTTGGCATTAGACATCTAAAAAAAATGTGTAATCCTTTATATAACTAGTGAGTGACAACTGATTTATGTTTCAATTCAAAAAGGGGAAACTTGCTGTCAAACCTCATAAGGAGACAAAATCATAAACAAGCATAATGATTATTTGAGGGTTGTGGAGGGCTAGTCCTTTTTATCAGAATGTACAAACCTGATTTCTTGAAAGTATATCACAAAAGTGTGTACAGAATAGTTACAGTAAGGGTACATGATAATTATAATTAGGACCCCTGTGATAAACCATCAACACACAATAAACTATAATTAATTTGTACACATGTGTGGACATTATAATTATCAGCTGTCTTGTCAAACTTGATGTCCTTTAAAAACCATAAAAACTTAACTTTGTGTTTTCAGTTAAATAATACTCTTTTGTTGTAAACAATTTGTGTTTCAAATTATCAAAGCACAATTTGTGTGTACATAAAAAGTATATTCCTCAACCCTTATAGTTATCAGGACCAAATACAAATTGTGTGGTTATAGAGCAGGTTTCAATTATAATTAAAAAATTATAATTATCAGGTTTGACCACACTTTGTGTGGTTATTATAATTATCAGGTTTGTACACAATTTGTGTGGTTATTATAATTATCAGGTTTGTACACAATTTGTGTGGTTATTATAATTATCAGGTTTGTACACAATTTGTGTGGTTATTATTTATCAGGTTTGTAATTATAATTATCAGGTTTGTACACACTTTGTGTGGTTATTATAATTATCAGGTTTGTACACAATTTGTGTGGTTATTATAATTATCAGGTTTGTACACACTTTGTGTGGTTATTATAATTATCAGGTTTGTACACACTTTGTGTGGTTATTATAATTATCAGGTTTGTACACACATTATTATCAGGTTTGTACATTTGTGTGGTTATTATAATTATCAGGTTTGTACACACTTTGTGTGGTTATTATAATTATCAGGTTTGTACACACTTTGTGTGGTTATTATAATTATCAGGTTTGTACACAATTTGTGTGGTTATTATAATTATCAGGTTTGTACACAACTTTGTGTGGTTATTATAATTATCATTTGTACACACTTTGTGTGGTTATTATAATTATCAGGTTTGTACACAATTTGTGTGGTTATTATAATTATTTTGTAGGTTTGTGTGGTTATTATAATTATCAGGTTTGTACACACTTTGTGTGGTTATTATAATTATCAGGTTTGTACACAATTTGTGTGGTTATTATAATTATCAGGTTTGTACACACTTTGTGTGGTTATTATAATTATCAGGTTTGTACACAATTTGTGTGGTTATTATAATTATCAGGTTTGTACACACTTTGTGTGGTTATTATAATTATCAGTTTGTGTGGTTATTATAATTATCAGGTTTGTACACACTTATATAATTATCAGGTTTGTACACAATTTGTGTGGTTATTATAATTATCAGGTTTGTACACACTTTGTGTGGTTATTATAATTATCAGGTTTGTACACAATTTGTGTGGTTATTATAATTATCAGGTTTGTACACACTTTGTGTGGTTATTATAAATTATCAGGTTTGTACACAATTTGTGTGGTTATTATAATTATCAGGTTTGTACACACTTTGTGTGGTTATTATAATTATCAGGTTTGTACACAATTTGTGTGGTTATTATAATTATCAGGTTTGTACACAATTTGTGTGGTTATTATAATTATCAGGTTTGTACACACTTTGTGTGGTTATTATAATTATCAGGTTTGTACACACTTTGTGTGGTTATTATAATTATCAGGTTTGTACACAATTTGTACACAATTTGTGGTTATTATAATTATCAGGTTTGTACACAATTTGTGTGGTTATTATAATTATCAGGTTTGTACACACTTTGTGTGGTTATTATAATTATTATAATTATCAGGTTTGTACACACTTTGTGTGGTTATTATAATTATCAGGTTTGTACACAATTTGTGTGGTTATTATAATTATCAGGTTTGTACACAATTTGTGTGGTTATTATAATTATCAGGTTTGTACACACTTTGTGTGGTTATTATAATTATCAGGTTTGTACACAATTTGTGTGGTTATTATAATTATCAGGTTTGTACACACTTTGTGTGGTTATTATAATTATCAGGTTTGTACACACTTTGTGTGGTTATTATAATTATCAGGTTTGCACACTTTGTGTGGTTATTATAATTATCAGGTTTGTACACAATTTGTGTGGTTATTATAATTATCAGGTTTGTACACACTTTGTGTGGTTATTATAATTATCAGGTTTGTACACAATTTGTGTGGTTATTATAATTATCAGGTTTGTACACACTTTGTGTGGTTATTATAATTATCAGGTTTGTACACAATTTGTGTGGTTACACACACTTTGTGTGGTTATTATAATTATCACACACTTTGTGTGGTTATTATAATTATCAGGTTTGTACACACTTTGTGTGGTTATTATAATTATCAGGTTTGTACACAATTTGTGTGGTTATTATAATTATCAGGTTTGTACACACTTTGTGTGGTTATTATAATTATCAGGTTTGTACACAATTTGTGTGGTTAATAATTATCAGGTTTGTACACAATTTGTGTGGTTATTATAATTATCAGGTTTGTACACAATTTGTGTGGTTATTATAATTATCAGGTTTGTACACAATTTGTGTGGTTATTATAATTATCAGGTTTGTACACAATTTGTGTGGTTATTATAATTATCAGGTTTGTACACAATTTGTGTGGTTATTATAATTATCAGGTTTGTACACACTTTGTGTGGTTATTATAATTATCAGGTTTGTACACAATTTGTGTGGTTATTATAATTATCAGGTTTGTACACACTTTGTGTGGTTATTATAATTATCAGGTTTGTACACAATTTGTGTGGTTATTATAATTATCAGGTTTGTACACAATTTGTGTGGTTATTATAATTATCAGGTTTGTACACACTTTGTGTGGTTATTATAATTATCAGGTTTGTACACAATTTGTGTGGTTATTATAATTATCAGGTTTGTACACACTTTGTGTGGTTATTATAATTATCAGGTTTGTACACACTTTGTGTGGTTATTATAATTATCAGGTTTGTACACACTTTGTGTGGTTATTATAATTATCAGGTTTGTACACAATTTGTGTGGTTATTATAATTATCAGGTTTGTACACAATTTGTGTGGTTATTATAATTATCAGGTTTGTACACAATTTGTGTGGTTATTATAATTATCAGGTTTGTACACAATTTGTGTGGTTATTATAATTATCAGGTTTGTACACACTTTGTGTGGTTATTATAATTATCAGGTTTGTACACACTTTGTGTGGTTATTATAATTATCAGGTTTGTACACACTTTGTGTGGTTATTATAATTATCAGGTTTGTACACAATTTGTGTGGTTATTATAATTATCAGGTTTGTACACAATTTGTGTGGTTATTATAATTATCAGGTTTGTACACACTTTGTGTGGTTATTATAATTATCAGGTTTGTACACACAGGTTTGTGTGTGTTATTATAATTATCAGGTTTGTACACAATTTGTGTGGTTATTATAATTATCAGGTTTGTACACAATTTGTGTGGTTATTATAATTATCAGGTTTGTACACAATTTGTGTGGTTATTATAATTATCAGGTTTGTACACACTTTGTGTGGTTATTATAATTATCAGGTTTGTACACACTTTGTGTGGTTATTATAATTATCAGGTTTGTACACAATTTGTGTGGTTATTATAATTATCAGGTTGTGTGGTTATTATAATTATCAGGTTTGTACACAATTTGTGTGGTTATTATAATTATCAGGTTTGTACACACATTTGTGTGGTTATTATAATTATCAGGTTTGTACACAATTTGTGTGGTTATTATAATTATCAGGTTTGTACACAATTTGTGTGGTTATTATAATTATCAGGTTTGTACACACTTTGTGTGGTTATTATAATTATCAGGTTTGTACACAATTTGTGTGGTTATTATAATTATCAGGTTTGTACACACTTTGTGTGGTTATTATAATTATCAGGTTTGTACACACTTTGTGTGGTTATTTTAATTATCAGGTTTGTACACAATTTGTGTGGTTATTATAATTATCAGGTTTGTGTGGTTATTATAATTATCAGGTTTGTACACACTTTGTGTGGTTATTATAATTATCAGGTTTGTACACACTTTGTGTGGTTATTATAATTATCAGGTTAGAACACTTTGTGTGATTATTTTCTATGATTATCAAGTTTGACTATAATTGATGTATTTGTATCAGCCTCATATTTATATAATACATATGTTTATATAATTCATATGTTTATATAAAGTCACTTTTTTACATGTTTATTTATATATATGAAGTTTAGGTTTTGAATGAGCTTCGAGATAAAATTTTATTTTCATTAGGTTTAAGTACTGAAGAACTGGAGCACTTGGCTAGTCCATCCAGAACTGTTATCAAAACATCCCGACGAGATCTCCCTTTTGTAATATCAGAAGTAAGTCCCTCACTTTCATAGCACTAGATCTGCTTAGGATTTCTTTAAAAGTCTTTTCACAAGGAGGATAAATTTTGTAAACACAGAGTTATCTCTCTTAGATCAACTATAATTTTGGAAAAGAAACCTGTCTTTTATGCCATCATAGGATGTGTATATGTATGTGTGTGTGTGTGTGTGTTTATATGTGTGTGTGTGCGTGTTATGTGTGTGTGTGTGTGTGTGTGCATTTATGCATGCATGTTTTTGAGGAGGGGGATGTATATCATTGCTCATGTTTGACCAGATCTTGTCTCGTAAGCCACATTGCATTGAGTCTCATTCCGATTCTTCAACAAGTTAATTGCAAGACTAATTAAACAGAGATTTCAAATAATTTTCCTGTTCGAATAAATGTTCAAAAACCTTCAAAAACACATGTACAATGTACTCTGACTTGTGATGCAATATAAAATACAAATAAGACGCTTTAATTTAATTCTTCAAAGTGAAAACAATCAATTTGTTCTAAGAAAGCATTCACTATCATCATTATTGACTAAAAGCTGATAGATTAGTTCAGGTTTAAATTTGAAATTTCAAATAGCTAACACCTGTTAGTGGGCTAACTCATTCTGCACTTTAGGTTTTAGTTAGATTTGTAGTATTAATACATGAACTAATGTATTACATATTTCAAACTTGTAGAAGTCTTTGTTTACAAAACTAACAAGTTTTAAGCAATAGTTTAGAGCAGACAAAAGTTATCATTTTGGTGATTAATTAGATACTACAAACTTATATGTAAATCAGGGATGTGATGGAGGGACAACGGTCGCTGGTACCATGGTCATAGCCAACTTGGCAGGCATCGCTGTATTTGTCACAGGAGGAATTGGTGGCGTTCACAGAGGAGTGGAAGCCAGTAGGTCTTCAGATATTGTCTGAGAAAATCATTTGATAATGAAGGCAATGGATATCTCGGCAATCGATAAAGCTACTAATTAATTAAAGCAATAAAAACAGATATCAATATACAGTTTTCTACTAACAGTAAATATTTATGCTATACTTTGGAAATAGCAAAGAGAATTTTTTTTAATTTCTAAAAAATACTTTCATTGAAATATAAAAATTTCATTGAGTTTACCAAGGTTACTTGTATGTAACAGTGTTGTTTACCTTTCTTTAAGTTTTGTTATACACAAAGATACTTGTATGTAACACTGTTGTTTACCATTCTTTATGTTTTGTTATACACAAAGATACTTGTATGTAACACTGTTGTTTACCATTCTTTATGTTTTGTTATACACAAAGATACTTGTATGTAACACTGTTGTTTACAATTCTTTATGTTTTGTTATACACAAAGATACTTGTATGTAACACTGTTGTTTACCATTCCTGGAAACTAGCTATATATGTTGTTTATTTATCTTTATACAGCTATGGACGTGAGTGCTGACCTGACAGAGCTGGGTCGGACACCGGTCACTGTAGTATCCTCTGGGGTTAAATCAATACTAGACATTGCCAGGACTTTAGAATTCCTTGTGAGTAAATATATTGTGATGATAAAGTAAATAGAGTTATTAGATTTTGATGATAAAGTATATATATAGAGTTAATAGATTGTAATGATAAAGTTCGCAGAATTAATAGATTGTGATGATAAAGTATACAGAGTTAATAGATTGTGATGATAAAATATATGTAGTGTCAATAATTTGTGATGATAAAGTATACAGAGTTAATAGATTTTGATGATAAAGTATATAGAGTTAATAGATTGTGATGATAAAATATATATAGTGTTAATAGATTGTGATGATAAAGTATATAGAGTTAATAGATTGTGATGATAAAATATATCGAGTTAATAGATTGTTATGATAAAGTATAAAGTGTTAATAGATTGTGATGATAAAGTATATAGAGTTAATAGATTGTGATGATAAAGTATATATAGATTTAATAGATTGTGATGATAAAATATAAAGAGTTAATAGATTGTGATGAAGTATATATCAGTTTTTGGTTCACCAAGGCAATGGTGAGGCGTCTATTCTCCATCCAGCATCTGTCGTCTCTGAACTTTTTACTAGACATAAATGACTGAACAAATTTTGACCAAATTTGGTGAAAAGTATCCTTGGGAAGATAAGACAGTTTTTTATGGATGTTGGTTCATGACCCCATGGGAGGTGAGGGGCTGGGCTCAAAAGGAGAAATTTTGTTCTTTAAAATCCTACTCCTTCTGTATGAATGAATGGATATTGCCTAAACTTAGTTTGAAGTATTCTTGGGTGAAGGGGAATCAGTTCTATATAAACAATGTATTCCGCCCCACTGGTGCTGAAGGAAAAGTGTGGCACAATTGGGGTAATGTCTTAAAAAATTCTTCTGTACAAGGATATTGTCCAAGTTTGGTCTGAAGCAATTTTTATGAATAGTGAATCTGACATCTGTTTTTGATCACAAATCTGGGACCAGAATAGGGAAATTTATCAGAAATCATTTTTATATCCTTCACAACAAAGATAGAGGGTTTGTACTGGCATCACATTGTCTCTGTACATCTGACTGTAGAAAAGTTTGTCTAGAAAACTCCTCCAGAACTACTGGATTGATTTTAAACCTCATGAAACTACAATGGATTGTTGGGTACATGTGTAAATGTGAATGCTACTTTTTTTAGCATGATATTGGTTGCCATGATAATCAGTCAATATAAATAGGATTTTGTTTCCAATTTTGGTCTGGACAAGTTTTCCTAAACTTATGTATCATGTCCATGCAACAAGAAATGTGTGATTGCTTAAATAATGTGTCATATGAACAGGACTTTCATTTAACGTCATGTCTGTACAACTCCACCTAAACTTCTTACATGTGTTTTTGAGGAGTTCTAATTTTCACTACTTCAATTGTGAAGGAAATAATATACCAAAGACCATTGAAATAACTAACTATTCTGTATAATTCTACTGTCAATTTCACATTTAGCTGGAGAAGTTAAAATCCATAATACTAGAAGTTTACCTCAAAGCTCTACCCTAAAAGAAGTCATTTGCCCTTAATTAAAATATTTTCCCAAGAACACATCAGTATTCAGCAGATTGTTTACCTGGTAATTCATTCTGTCTGCGTATTAGTAGAAGTTTTTCATCAGTCTTCATATTTTCTTCCTTAGGAGACACAAGGTGTTTGTGTGGCAACTTATGGTCCTAGTAGAGACTTCCCTGCCTTTTTCTCACCACGAAGTGGACTTTTGTCCCCATACAATGTTGAGGACCCAAGTAGTGCAGCCAGACTGATAGGTAAGTAAGGTTGAAGAGTAAATCTGTGGTTTACAAGTAAGATATGATTAGATGTAATCTAAAGGTATTGAATGGTATTTGTATAGAAATTATATAGTCAGTGACTTAAAAAATCAGTAGTATTTTGGCAAAGGCTGAAGAAAGACAAAAATAGCTAAACTATGGCTCGTCACTTTTTTTTGTATACAAAGAAGAAAACACAGCCCCCTCCCTTAAAAAAAGACCATCTAAAAGTGAACAGGCTGTAGTGTTTCCATCTGCATTTTGAATATTTTCTAATGTGGTCAGCATGCAACTTATAGCGGTGATTCAGAATGTAAATTTGTGATTTGTGTGACTAGATAGCCATGAGAGACTTGGTGTTCAGAGTGGAGTCCTGATAGCCGTCCCTGTACCGGAGGACCAGGCAGGCCAAGGAAAACTTATAGAGGATGCCATACAGATAGCTGTGACAAAGGCAAGGTAATTATCAACATTAATTTATAGCTGTGACAAAGGCAAGGTAATTATCAACATTAATTTATAGCTGTGACAAAGGCAAGGTAATTATCAACATTTATTTATAGCTGTGACAAAGGCAAGGTAATTATCAACATTTATTTATAGCTGTGACAAAGGCAAAGTAACATATCAACATTTATAGCTGTGACAAAGGCAAGGTAATTATCAACATTTATTTATAGCTGTGACAAAGGCAAGGTAATTATCAACATTTATTTTTAGCTGTGACAAAGTCAAGGTAATTATCAACATTAATTTATAGCTGTGACAAAGGCAAGGTAATTATCAACATTTATTTATAGCTGTGACAAAGGCAAGGTAATTATCAACATTTATAGCTGTGACAAAGGCAAGGTAATTATCAACATTTATTTATAGCTGTGACAAAGGCAAGGTAATTATCAACATTTATTTATAGCTGTGACAAAGGCAAAGTAATTATCAACATTTATTTATAGCTGTGACAAAGGCAAGGTAATTATCAACATTTATTTATAGCTGTGACAAAGGCAAGGTAATAATCAACATTTATTTATAGTTGTGACAAAGGCAAAGTAACATATCAACATTTATAGCTGTGACAAAGGCAAGGTAATTATCAACATTTATTTATAGCTGTGACAAAGGCAAGGTAATTATCAACATTTATTTACAAAGTCAAGGTAGCTGTGACAAAGGCAAGGTAATTATCAACATTAATTTATAGCTGTGACAAAGGCAAGGTAATTATCAACATTTATAGCTGTGACAAAGGCAAGGTAATTATCAACATTTATTTATAGCTGTGACAAAGGCAAGGTAATTATCAACTGTGACAAAGGCAAGGTAATTATCAACATTTATTTATAGCTGTGACAAAGGCAAGGTAATTATCAACATTTATTTATAGCTGTGACAAAGGCAAGGTAATTATCAACATT